CGTCATGGACATGGTTTTTACGTAAGCTTAGGCAGTGTATCGGTGATGTGCCCAATTTAACCTTCGTCACCGATAGGGCTGCCTCTATCGACCTGRCCATACGAACTGTATTTCCTTCTGCGCACCACGGACTTTGTTGTCGGCATCTGAGCCAAAACCTCCGCCTAAACTCTACTAAAGAGAAAAGAAAACGGTGGATTTTCTGGGAGGCATGCAAAGCTTACCGGTTGTCGGACTTTGAAGCTACTATGGATTTGATGCGACACAGTCTACCTAGAGCCGCTCAATATCTTGAGGAAGTTGGCTACGCTAGATGGGAACGATCGCACTTCCCTGGATTGCGTTACAGTGCAATGACGTCAAATAGTGCTGAGTCCGTCAACTCAGTAACGCGGTTTGCACGCTATCTTCCGATAACAATGTTAGTTGAATTTTATCGGGCGACATTACAACAATGGTATTTCATACGTCGGCATAACGGAGGTAAATTCAACTAGCCTTTGACTATATGTTTGATTATTTAACATATGGTAATGATATCAAATATCTGCAGCGCAAATGATGAATGCCGTGACTCCTTGGGCGGAGGCCAAATTAGAGAAGAGAATACATAAGAGCGCAAATTGGAAGGTATATCCCATTAGCGATTTGTTGTTTGAAGTTGACGACCGCTATAAGAAAGGAACGTGTGACTTGCATGCTAAGACTTGTACATGCATGCAATGGCAACTTTCTGGAATAGCTTGCGGTCATGTGATTTCTGTTGCTCGAAGTTTAGATATTCAAGACTGCAGTCAATTCTGTTTTGTTTGGTTCAATTCCGACTCTTGCCGTGCAACATACGAGGAAGAAGTCATTCCCCTTCCACCAGAAGCTGAATATGTGTTGCCTAACGAATGTTTGACCGTCCTACCCCCTCCCTTGGACATACAAAACTCAGGCAGGCTACGCAACCGCGATCGTATCCCGTCACGAGACGAGGAACCAATAGTGAAAACTTGCAGTCGATGCGGCCAGAGTGGACATTTTCGATATAACTGTCCGAGTCCGATGCCAGCTCCTAGGCCGACGCACGGAAGTTCAAGTAGTCGTCGAAGATCAGTTAGTCATCCAAGCGATTGTGGTCCGTCTGAACCTGATACTACACAAGACTATGTATTTGATACTTACAATTTAAATAAGTAAATGTACGATTTTTGAGTGTACTTTTGTTGTTTTAATAGGAAATGGAAGTTTGATTTAGAAATGCATGAACATTAACCATCAATACATTGACGAAAAGACTGAAACAACACCATTCCGACGTAACATTAAACTAAAAAAACATCAACGACAACAAAAACATTAATATATAACATTCATGTTAGTTTCCGTCTGGGTAAAGTTGTTTGCAAGGCTCAATCCAGTACTGTTTTTCATTGATCATTTCTTGCATCACTGGGTACCCCTTCGCGATGTCTTTCACAATTTTTTCTTCGGCTCGTATCTCCTTTTGCAATTGCTTGATTGCTTTTTTCTTCTCTTCAATAGATTCTTCGTGTTTGTTTTGTTTCTCCCTGTTAGCCCACCAGTCATCGGCGATCTTCTTAATCTCGGCTTCGACCTTTTCAATTGAAGCCTTCATCCTTGTAGGCATTGTTTGAGAAGACGATG